GGTGGAGTCTTCTGCTGTTGTAGCCCATCCGCCTCAAGGTTGTGCGTGTTGTGGCTTCACAAATGCTTAGCTGCATACCTCGGTTGTAACGAGTGGTTATTTCAGTCACTGTTGCCCTTCTATCAGCTCGAACCAGTCTGGCCATTCTCCTCTGACCTCTGGCATCAACAAGGCATTTCCGCCCACAGAACTGCCGCTCACTGGATGTTTTTTCTTTTTCGGACCATTCTCTGTAAACCCTAGAGATGGTTGTGCGTGAAAATCCCAGTAGATTAGCAGTTTCTGAAATACTCAGACCAGCCCTTCTGGCACCAACAATCATGCCACGTTCAAAGTCACTCAAATCAACTTTCTTCCCCATACTGATGCTCGGTTTGAACTGCAGGAGATTGTCTTGACCATGTCTACATGCCTAAATGCACTGAGTTGCCGCCATGTGATTGGCTGCTTAGAAATTAAGTGTTAACGAGCAGTTGGACAGGTGTACCTAATAAAGTGGCCGGTGAGTGTACATCTAGTAAGTGACAAACCCTTGCAACGAAATTCAGTGTACAGAACCAAACTGAACAACTAGCTAACAACATCATATAAAAAGGACATTTTAAAAGTGAATTTCCTGAAGCGGAACAAGCAAATGTGTGCTTTATTATATTGAGTGTGCATGTAAGGGTTATTTAGTTCTGTAAGGTAATTTACACAACACCATTTTCAACAAAAAAACGGAACACTTTTTATGCGTTTTGGCAGTTCATTTACACGACAGCAGCGTGTAAATGCAAGCTTTTGATAACGGGCTTCAAAGTGCAAGTTTTTGAAATGTTGAAAATTCACTAGATAGTGCACACATCTTTTCGCACTAATGGCCAAAGGAGTATACATTGAAAGGCACTCGCACTAAACTGAGCAAGATGGAGCGGAACGCGGAAAATGAAGTATACCCCGGGCCTTTAGTTGCCTTAGGGCGCTTTCACACTTGGTTCGATTGCCTGTTCCGAACCCGAGTTCGATTGCTCCCCCCTCCCCCTTCCCCCGATGGACTGTGTTCACAAATATTATTTGTATCCGAACCGCGGTACGCTTGCGTCATCAAGCTGCAGCTGGCGCGTAATCATGTTGCTTGGTAACCGGCGCCGCTATGAATGAAAAGGCGTCAAAATGGATAGAATTGCTCGCTTCACATTTGTTCTTCTTTTTTTTAACCTTTGGTTTTGTTTTCAAAGAAAAGATACAGAAACACACTTGGGTATGTCTGCCGCAAAAGTACTAAAATCATTCCAAAGACAGCTGGCTGTCAGCCGAAGACAATTTTTGCGGAGGCAAGCATAAATCATCTCTCTGCTTGCAGTGCGTCAATCCCGCTTTTCGTCAAGGTAAGTGCACACACACACACACACACACACACGCACTGACGACTGTCCTGTCGACCACATTATACATTATACGTCATCAATAGCCATACCTGCCAACTTTTGAGTTTTGCTCGGCGTGCGATTTGTTGACGGGGGGGGGGGGGGAGCGACGAGTCAGATTTGTTGTTGTTGGGGGGGTAGAGACGAGTCTGATTTGTTGACGGGGTGGGGGGGGGGGGGGGTAGAGACGAGTGAGATTTGTTGACGGGGGGGTGGCGGTCTCGCTCGCGCAAGGTCTCTCGCTCGCTCTACGCGGTTTGGAGCACAATCTCTGTCTCGCATGCACGCTCGCTCTAGATAACGGGAGATTTTTAACGAATTTGCGGTATAACTAGTCGATCACGAGTGGCTCAACAGGTAGATATATAGATAAACTCATCTTCCAGGCATTTGACCGCCCGGGTTGACACTTCAGCGTGAGAAATCGGGAGTGTGGCGTGTGAGCGTGTGAAACCAATCAAATGCGGGTGTCTCACGGCCAATGCGTGAGAGTTGGCAGCTATGTCAATAGCGGTTCACTTCCGCGGTTTGGTTCGATTGCGTTCATATCAGCAGCGAACCGTACTGGAGTTCACATGAACCGTACCCCAGACCACCTTTTTAAGCGGACCCGAGTACGGTTCGCGGGTACGCACCCGAGTTCGGAAGACAGCGTTCACATCATCCAAACGAACCGAACTCTGACGTCATTCGAACAAGGGTGCGCACCAAAAGTGCTAGTGTGAAAGCCCCCCTAGTTTCTACTTGAATTACACACCTGTTCCCTGTTCTGTTGATTACCTTCGCTAGTGTATTTAAGGCCCTGGGTTTTCCTCAGTTCCTTGTCTAGTGTTAACGTTGTGTTTCCCTCTGCGTTCATTAAAAGTCGGTTTAATCATCTTCCTGCTTGCTCTCTTGGATTGCTACAACTTTAAACTACAGAGCCCTTGTGGGAACTTCAGATCTTAAAAGTACAATTTGTAAAAACTGTACTTGCAGACAATATAATATTAATGAAATAAAAGCCTGCTTAAGTGTAGGCTACTTAAAGAGAGTACACAATCATGACCATGTTTTTTAAAACACTTAAGTACACTTTTGTCATGCTTTCAAGTCATCATGAAATCAAAATGAACTTTTTTTTCTTTCTTTTTTTAGAATATTGCACTATTTACTATAAATGAGATCCACGCACATCAGTATTTTTTTTTATTCATGTGGCCCATATTCTTTCATCAAAATAACTTCCCCTCCCACTTGCAGCGACATCGCTTCACTGATGACATGTTTACATGCATGAGGCAACGGGTCACTCACATGAGATCGACCAATACTGTAGCAAACCACAACCATCCAATCAGTTCCCATGGACAAAATCAAGTTCCGCCCTAAATTTTTTCTTGTTCGAGAAGCCATTTCACTCAGATATGTCACATCAAGCACTCATATTTATAGGGATACTCCACTTTTTTTGGAAATAGGCTCATTTTACAACTCCTCCAGAGTTAAACTGTTGAGTTTTACCGTTTTTGAATCCATTCAGCCGATCTCCGGTTCTGGCGGTACCACTTTTAGCATAGCTTAGCATACATCATTGAAGTGGACAAGACCATTGCATTTCTAAAAAAAAAATGACCAAAGAGTTTCGATATTTTTCTTTTTTTTTTTATAATAAAGAAACGTTACGGCCGTACCATGAGTGCAGCAGGCGTAATGATATGACGCAGCGCCTGAAAATAGGCCACCTTCTGTCAACACAACGGAACTATTTTCAGGCGCTGCGTCATGTCATTACGCCTGCTGCACTCATGGAACGGCAGTAACGTTTCTTGATTATTACGCAGGAATGAGAGTATAGTTCCTAGCCATATCAGCCTAGTAAATCGCAACTTTACATTTTCCGTCGGTCTTAGTGCACGATGTAACTACAGAAGAGTCAAGTTTTAAATAGGAAAAATATCGAAACTCTTTGGTCATTTTTTTTTTTAGAAATGCTAATGGTCTTGTCCACTTCAATGATGTATGCTAAGCTATGCTAAAAGTGGTACCGCCAGAACCGGAGATCGGCTGAATGGATTCAAAAACGTTAAAACTCAACAATTTAACTCTGGAGGAGTTGTAAAATGAGCCTATTTCCAAAAAAATCTCAGATAACGGTTGACTAGGTAACAATGTGTAATTAGACCAAAGGTTCATTTTGCGCCGGAGTTCTCCTTTAAGAGATTCAGTCCCACATGCCCCAAATGTTATAGTAAGTGACTAGAGACTGTATAAAGCAGTAGCAATATTACTGTAAAAATATGCAAGTAGAAGAAATCATAACGCTTATATGGCAGCTGTAGTTCCACATTACAATTAAAAGAGCCAGTGATAGAAGCTTCACAATGCTTAATATAGGGGCTGCACCAATAGAAGTCCAGGGTTTAGATTAAACCAGTATTAGGCCTTAGTACAATTAGGGCATTTAAGTAGTTTTTATAAACGTGCCTTAGAAAAAAAAAAAAACATTACTGGTGTGCATCTTGAGATAAAACAATGGCACTGACATGTTTTAAGATATTAAAACATGCATTTTAGTCTGGGACTAGCTTTAAAAGCCTTGGCTGTGAAACTGGGTCTACTTATTTGTTCCTCAAAAACGTGCATGTGAATTCGCTGGACCAGCTATTGTGTTATTTGAGTTTAAAAGGACGTTTTTCCTTTTAAATTTTTTAAAGATTTTAAAAAGCTAATTTGATTTGTACAGTATTAAATATCCCAAACCTCTCATTTTGAGCAATAATAATAATAAATATTAAGTTCATTTTGTCATTTGTCTCCATTAGTGTAACCCAGAAAATGTGAGGCAAAGATTAACGCATGTGGATAGAAATATTGATCTTACATGGCTTAGTGACAAAACACAGTGGGGATCTTTTCCAGGTACACAGAACATCCATATCACAGCAGAGATCATTAAAAAAAAAAGAACAAAACAAGAGTTTCTCACCCTCTATCTGTCTATCAATCATAAATATATTTTGTCTTTTTTCTTTTTATTACTGGTACATATTGCCTTAAATTGAATACTAGTAATAATTCTGAAAGTAACATCAAATAGCTTCTTCTGTTTCTCTGCTTCTCTTTACAAGTGTAGTGCTCTGCACTGTAAGGAAGCTGTGCTCCGATTGGCTGCTGACAAACTGTGATGTCATCACTGGCTGTTATAAGAGTCCAACTGATAGTCAGGAGCACATTTAGTCTACAGTGTGTTCAGCCGAGAGTGCTGTGCACATGTAAACGAAACACAGATAGAAAAAATGACCAGGTGATTAAGAGTTGAGCACACTCAGTGAAAGAACACTATGTGAGACCAGAACACTTCCTAAGAGAAACACAATTCAAAAGGATTATTTTTGGATACCTTAAGGGAGTGAAGAGTGGAATTAAGTTGGACGACTCTTAAACACTCTCCTGATTTTAGTAAGTGACTTGATCTCTTGAGGATATTCTCCTCTGACACATTTTCCATGCTGTAAAGTCATTCTCATACTTTGCTTTCTGATTGACTTTCTATTCGCTTGTGCTCTCTGAAAAGCATTCCTTTTTCAGGCTAACAATACTTTATGTTGATTTTCCTTCCTCAGGTCAAAGCTCATGGAGGGAAAGGATACGTTGAGCACGGAGAACACCTCCCTGCCCATGAATGTTTCAGCTGGGCTAAACGACTCTTCTCCGGTGTCAGAATATAGCGATGCAGAGGTGGTCTTAATTAGCATCTTAATGGGGCTTCTGGTTCTAGGCATCGTCTTCGGCAATGTGCTGGTCATCAGCGCCATTGTACGATTTCAACGTTTGCAGACGGGCACCAACTACTTCATCAGCTCCCTTGCCTGCGCCGACCTGGTCATGGGCCTCATGGTGGTGCCCTTCGGCGCATGCTACATCCTTCTCAACACGTGGCACTTCGGAAACTTCTTCTGCGAGTTTTGGACGGCTACGGATGTGTTGTGCGTGACCGCTAGCATCGAGACGTTGTGCGTGATCGCCCTGGACCGGTACGTTGCGATCATGTGGCCTCTACGTTATCAGTCGATGCTTACGAAGCGGAAGGCCTGCGGGATAGTCCTAGGGGTGTGGGCAGTGGCCGCCCTGATCTCTTTCCTGCCCATCCACATGGAGTGGTGGGTGTCCGACGACCCTGATGCGTTGAGCTGCTTGGAGAACCCAAACTGCTGCGACTTCAACACCAACGCCGCCTACGCCGTGACCTCCTCCATCATCTCCTTCTACATCCCGCTGGTCATCATGGTATTTGTGTACAGCCGGGTCTTCCAGGAGGCCCGTAGGCAGCTTCAGAAAATCGATCGCATTGAGGGACACATACGCACACAGAGCTTCAGCACCCAGGAGGGGAATGAGATGAAGAACCGGAGGACCAAGTTCGGCATGAAGGACCACAAAGCTCTGAAGACCTTGGGGATCATCATGGGAACATTCACCCTCTGCTGGCTGCCGTTTTTCGTGCTTAACGTGGTGGCGGCCATCTGGAAGATGGACAACATCATGTTGCCTTTCAGGATCTTGAACTGGATCGGCTACGCCAACTCCGCCTTCAACCCCCTGATCTACTGCAGGAGTCCTGAGTTCAGATGCGCCTTTCAGGAGATCCTGTGCCGTAGAACTTCTCACCTACCTTCCACAAGGAATAACAAGGGATATATCTACAGCGGCCACAGCTGGCAAGTCCACACGAAGACCACCAGACAACGAGAGCCCTCGCCAGCTTGCGAAACAGAAATGGGTGCTAACAGTTTGACTGCGGGCAACACAAACACAAATGGGAATTGTAATAAAGCTGTGACGTCCAATATTTAGCCAATTTTGAACGTTTGAATATTCCCTGGAGCACTTGAGAGATTTCTGCAACCGCTTTTGTCTGTGACAAAACATGGTTTTTAGATGTTTAAGTCTTTGAACCATGAAGGTTTTGCCCATACTCACACCATATTTAAGATGTACTGTTGACACATTGTGATACTTGTATCGAGTCAGAACAAATGGAAATGAAGTAACTTCTGTTTTCGGACAAATGAGGAAAGAAACAAAGTTTGAAAGCCAAGACAGTCTACCTCTGGATTCCACTTACTACCTCGAGACACTTTTCAGGTCTCAACTGAAACCTGGATGGTTAATTCATAATTTATTCATTAATTCCTCAGCTTACAGAACCAAGAGTCTGGATTTGTACCGTAACATGTGAACTGCAGATCTTAAAGAGCGTCAGAGGGGTGTCTTATGCCAGACAGACTTGTTACATTCCATTAAATTGGACTCACTGGAAACCAGGGTCTTCGATATCTCTGAGCCCTCCTCCAGTCAGAGGAAATATAACCCTCTGATGAGGGGCAACAGGTGCACATTGCCGTCTGTGCTATAACCAGCTGTTCTTGTCTAAAGGAAAAAAAGTGAAGGAGCCAAGCAGTTCTCTCCAACCTCAGCCCTTCAACCTTCCCCCGTTAACATTTCCACTGGGAAATCGTTTTAAGGTTACAGCTGAAGCTGTATCTATAAAGGGTCATGTTTATAAAAGTAAGTACGCAAGTCTACATTCGCAGTCTGGCTGGCACAATAATGATGTTATATTTAACATGTCACTACGTGCAATGAATGTGCCAATGATTCTTATTGCCAAAAAAATATTTAGATCTATATAGATTTATGCTATATCAGCATCCTAATTTCACGAATACAACTTCTGGCATCAAATTTATAGGGGTAGGCATTCATAAGTGTTGTGTTTGTACTGTTTACAGATTCCTGAACAAACAGCCCTCTGGGCAAACAGCACAGACTCACCTGATATTGATCCGACGGTTGTTTATTTCCATCCGTTTAGTTTTATATAATAGCCCAGGCAATGCACTTAATTATAACAGAAACACTACTGGAAAATATCTGGCATTACTAAAAGCTGACAAATGGACGTTTACGCAATGGCCCGGTGTTGTGCTATTTGAGCCGCCTTCCTGTGTGCACATATGTCATGGGAATTTGAGAAAGACATAAATACAGCTTATGTGGCTCTATAGACTCATTGAAGTGCTATATTTATTTTTGCCAGGAATAAAAACAAGGTTGTGATGGATAGAAGTACAGTGTGTTTAATTATATTTAAGATTTGTAGTCTTAATTAACAACTTGTTCATTTTTAAGCTGACGAAAGATATTTCCCCCAAAAAAATCAGTGTACAAAAACTCCATAAAACAGTTTTGAAAGCTGTGAGTTTTGAAAAGTATGATCTAGGACCTATATATACAGTGCATGCTATTAAAAAGACTGTACATTTATGCTCACACGGCCTCAATTTCATACACATAAAATTCAGTATGGTGTGTTTACACTTTAAGACTAAGGTCTATTCCAGGAGGAAGGACATTGCTAGGGAAGACTGTATATATATATATATATATATATATATATATATATATATATATATATATATATATATATATATATATTTCTTCCCTTGCAATGTCCTTCCCCCTGTATATATATATATATATACACACACACACACACATATTTCAAATATCTATCTAGGATTGTTTATGTGAAATGTGTTCTTTGGGATAAAAACTGAAAAGCTTGAATCTCTTTCATTATGTGAAGCATTTTTGGTGTTTTGTTGTTGGTACTGTAGTAACGAATACATCATGCTTCTCATTTGAGGTATTAGTCATCTATGTCAAACATCGTCTTATGCACATTTTGTATGAAGTATTTACCACATTGATGGGCAAAGCAGTATGTGAATGTTGCCTAATGTGTTACTGTGTTTTGACCGCACATTTCTGAAATGGTATCTGCTTAGTTTGTGTCATTCCACGAAACAAATTATCTTGTTTTCCAAGTGCAAATGTTTCCTCTATGCTACTTTTACAAAAAAAAAAAGTTTAGAATTTTTTTTAAGGTGTATTATTTTTGTTTATTTATTTGTGTCTGTCCAACCAGCTGCTTAATGTACAAAATGACAAAATAAACATGGTGGTTTGTAATGCTGTCGTACAGAGTCATGTTCTTGTGTGAACATGTTGCACACTTTACGCCATCTAGTGTTGACAGGAAGCATATAGGGAAGACATGGGAATATTTCAATACTAACTAACTAGTCAGTGTTTGTTTTGTTTTTTTACTCTATTTGTCTCAAACCTAATAATATTCACATTTTTAACTGCATCAAATTAAAGAAATATATTATTTACCCCTAAATAGTAAATTATTGCCAAAGAGTATTGTCGTTACAATCTTACCCATGGGGTAGACTAATAGAAAATACGGACATTTTAAATTTGATTAATAATAATAGAGTCCTTGTTATCGCTCATTCTCAAGCAAAACTATTAAAACTTATTTCAGAAGAATTCCACTTTAAATCAATTCTGTGTTACTTTAGCCTTCATATTGAAGCTTCTGTAATAAACATTCATTTAAAGGGATAGTTCACCCAAAAATGAAAATGACTCACCCTCATGTCGTTCCAAACTCCGTAAGACTTTTGTTAACCTTCATTAACATAAATGAAGATATTTTTAATGAAAACTGAGAGCTTCTGTCCCCGACAGCCTACAAAACTACCGCTTGCAAGCCCCAGAAAGGTAGTAAAGACATCATTAAAGTAATCCATGTGACTCCAGTGGTTTAACCTCAATTTTATGAAGCGACATAAGTTACCGCTCACTGGGACCGAACTTGGTTTAGACTAAGCGTTACAACTGGGTTACTTCATTCCCCACAGCTGTAGACAAATTGTCCAGCTTTAATCCAGACAGATGAAAGGACATCTGGAACACAAGATCCACAGTCCACAGATTAATGCTAACAGACTTGTAACAACAGGAAAATTAATAATTAGTGTATTGAGTTGTGTATATATTTTTCTCCTTGTGATTTCCCTTTGGTACAATAAAAGTCCATAGACACAAACATGAATGAATGAGAGGCAAGATTAGAGAGTAGTCTACAAACAAATAAATTGTGTCTCTCAATTAAATTCTTTAACACAAAATCTATAATAAGCAGTAGCCGTAACGTAAACAGGCGGAAATCACAGGTAAAGCTAATGGAATAATACAATAATTATATATTAAATACATTAAATTAGCTGCACTAAAAGTCTCTATTTAATGCTTGAAACACCAAATGTTCTTTTTTCCCCCTTTATATTATAATTATAAAATCAAACAAAGAGTCTAACTTAACATGTTTGGGCATTTGAATAATGCTGTTAAAATCTTGATCATACTCTACTTTTGTAGAGTTTAGGCTGTTTAATGAAGGAGTGGGTGGACTAGACATTTGCCCTGTGACGTCCAAAGATGTAAATCTTTCGCAGAAAAATCACCATATGCGGATGGCTAAATGCATTATCTGTTCACCCACCGACGAAGCCTGCAGGACTGATGATGACTCAATGTTTTATAGCTTAAAGAAAAAGGTTCTCCATAATTGTTATATAGCCTATTTAAATAACTGTTTTCAGATTTAGAAAGAGATTTACTGCCACATATGTTTGCACACACAATGAACCAAAACAAATTCCTTTTGTGTGCAATCATACTTGCGATAAATCTCTTTCTGTTTCTGATTTTATTTTAATATTTTAAAATGTAATTTATTTCTGTGATCAAAGCTGAATTTTCAGCATCATTACTCCAGTCTTCAGTGTCACATGATCCTTCAGAAATCATTCAAATATGCGGATTTGCTGCTCAAGAAACATTTCTCATTATCATCAATGTTGAAAACAGTTGTGATGCTTAATATTTTTGTGGAAACGGTGATATAATTTTTCCAGGATTACTATTTGATGACTAGAAAGCTCAAAAGAACAGCATGCATTTGACACCGAAATCTTTTGAAACACTGTAAATGTCACTTTTGAACCATTCAATTAATCTCTGCTAATATATCCACCGAATTGTTTGTTCAAACTGTAATACTGATCATTATAAAATATAACTAAATAATTCTGAAGCAGAAGAAGAGATGTTGGATAATAAGACTGGTTTCCTGGTCAGTCAGTGTCAGACAGAAGCATCTGCTGCTGGTTTGGTTTTTCCTTTTTCAGGGAGTTTTACTCCGAAGGGCCCAAATCAAGACCATAATACACACACACACACACACACACACACACACACACACACACACACACACAAAAAGACCAAAAACACATATAGTCAGTCATTTACTGGATGGATTATAATGACTTTAATGATTTTATTCTCTCTATTTGCTGCATGTACCCTGGGTCCAACTAAAGAGACCTTTTAAAAAAGAAGAAGTCTAAAGAAGATGTAATTATGGGCACCTGCACACTTATGTTTATGCTAATTAGTGTGCTTGGAGTTCAGTCTGCAGAATTAAACGCGAGAACCACCAATAAGGTTGAACACAGGTGAAAGACAGACGCCTACAATACATAATTATCTTTAAGGAAGTCTCTGGTGACAATGAGGTTATAGTCTTCATTCTGTAAACTTGTAATTTTGATTTATATTGACATATTGCAACATTAATTTCGTATTAGTACAACTTTATTCTCGGAATACTACGACTTTATTCTCGGAATTTTTACTTACGAGGGCACACCTTTTAAGGGGCACACAATATTTCTCATATTCTAGAACTTCTTGGAGCTTTGTATTATGGCTGGGAGAATGAGACCATTTTATCAGGCGCACTGAAACATTTAAAATGATACCAAACATGTATAGTTACGTATAGTACACACTTAACATTGACATTTTAAAATATTTAATGCATTTGGTGAACAATTTTACCCAAAGTGACTTACACTGCAATAAAGCGATACACATTTTTCAAAAGGTACAAAGGTCTTGCTTTCCCTGTTAATCGAACCCATCACAGTCCCTTGCCATTTCTAGCACCATGCTCGACTGTTTGAACTACAGGAAAGCATTTTTACAATGGCACTAT